GGACGCTACTCAGTTGTTTTTTTGCCGTGTTTTCTGAACTGCACAATGATTCTGTTGACTGTCGAAAGTGGGATTCCCAAATGCTGCGAAATTTGCCGCTGACTTATTCCACCATCTGCTTGACCAACTATCTTTCCTCTAACAAAATCTGACAATTCGAGAGAACCTTGAGTTCTAGACATGTTGTAGCACATGATAATTAGTGTGCAGACCATTTTCATTTATTTAGTGCTCTGTGAACACAAATCAGCTAGCATAAATCAGTTAAATGACAAAAAATTAGGTGTCTATTTACTTGTGACCATTCAGTGTATATATAGATATATACTTAAATTTTATTGTTTTGTTGCCCTTTGAACTGTGTATAACTAATATTTATGCCATATAGATTGCAAACCATGTGAGGAATGTGCAGCTCACATTACAGTATCGAATTACATAACGCACAGACTACTTGAAAGCATATTTCATAAAAAAATTTTATTAATATTGTTATTTGTTTTACTTTATCTAACCTGAAATGTTTTCAATTTTTACATTTTAGTTACTTTTATAATAATAAATAAAGATGGTGTTCCCGCTAGTCTATGAACTCCATTGGCATTAGGTTTGTTGATGTTTATTGGAAGTAGTGTTGGCTTTAAGTGGTGGGTGTGGAGTCTTTCATGCGACCTGGGCCTTCTTGTATACCTGAAATGCCTCCACCTGTGTTTCTTGTCAATGCTTATTGCAGAAGGTATTTTGCTGGCTTTTTTCTCACCACCTATCTTCGCCTCATCTTATATCCATGCTGTCTTGAATCTAAGTCTTTTTCATAATTTTGGGACTGGGTTCCTCGGTTATGTTTCTTCTCTTTGTAATTCATTCCCTGCTCCTACCTTTTATGTTTCTTCCTTCCTATTCAGAGATACAAGTTCATATTCAATTACTTTTACCACTACTTTGGTGCATGCATACCTCGTCTTCCTTCCTTTGTTACCTCATGTGAGTAGAAAAGATTTTGTGCCATATTGCCTTTCTCTGATGCCTACACTTTGGAGTCTTTACTTCTGACTTAGGAGTCAGATCATATGTCATTTGTTCATTTTTCTTAGGCTTAAGCTTTCCCACCATTGTCTTACACTCTCTACCTTTTTCCATTATTTTTTTCTCCATTCACCTTCTTTCCATGGTAATCCACCATTTCTCTGAGGGGTTTTCAACAGATATTCATTTACCTATCTTCTTTACAGTGGTGTGTTTATCTTTCTCTGCTTTGTCACTTCATATTTGATTGACCTGCTACTAGAGTTTATTAGGTCATGATGCCCTTGTTAATCTTTTGCCTTAGCTTTCTTTTTCTGTAATATACTTTCATCTTGCTCCTTGTATTTGCCTGTGTGATTTTATTAGAGTGCTTGTTTCTCTGGTATCATATGTTGGGGCTGCATGCCAATGTCATTCCTTATCCTCACTGGTTTACAGTCTCTATTGTGCTCCTTCTTTGCTTCTCTTGGTCTCCTGTCCTCCTGTTTCCTCATCTATTCCACTCCTCTCTTACCATCCTTCTTTTCACTGCTCATCATCTACAATGCTGTCAGTCTTGGTGGTGACTATCCTATGAGCTCATGGTCAGTCAAGCCTGTTTAGCTTGGTTTATGGTCCTTTACCCTCTGTTTGCAGCCAATTGTTGGGTACTGGGAGTTCTGTCAGAGAGCCTTGCTCTTAGTTTTTTTTTCCCTCCTCCTTTGTCTCCTGTTCCCATTACTTTTCTTCCTCCAAGTGATCTGGTTTCTTACCATTGTTGGCCTGTGGCAGTGTTGGACCTAATGGCTAAAGTTGCTATCAGACAGGTTTCTGATCCTACTCCAGGATTTCATTCCTGTCTTTTCATGATTTCCGGGGAATCATTAGCTAGGTGTCTGATCTTAGGTATTTCAATTCTCAGTCATTTTCTTGACTTCCCCTTCCCTCAATTTATTATGGGTAATTTTCTCTCACTATGGTGGTCTTTTGCACTAGATCTTGGGATTACAGAGGTGAACATCTTGAATGGTTATTTTCTCAATTGGCTCCATCCCAACAAACCTCCTACAGCCTTCCTCTTCTCTCAGCATGACCATTTAGTGTCTCCTTCATTTGGTTATTTTTCAGTTTGCATCTGCACAGTGCCCAGCCTTTTTTTCCATTAATCCAAGACAGGTATATAGTTTAAAGGTTAAGTTTGAGAAGCAAACCCAAAAAGGCTGTTCAGGAACATGGTTAGTCCTCTTCACCCTGCACGACGAGGATTTTTTGAACTAAAGTGAAAAGAAAAATTTTGGTAATCGTGACTTAGATTGTTGGCAGTGGTAAAGGACGGAAAAGTGAGGACAACCTGTGTTGAGGAAGATGAACTACCAAATGTGAAAATGAGATGGCACCTTTCAACGGTGGTGAGGAGCTACACCTTCTATGCCTGTGTGTTTTTTTTGTGAGGGGGGGATGGGAATACCCTGAGAAAAGCCCATTTCATAGGACAAGCCCTGGATTATATGCTTGTCCTGTTTCCAGGCTGAAAGGCAAAACATGATTGTACAACATAGGAATATGAAATACCTTTAATAACTGACTGCTATTCATTATTTATTTATCTCTGTTTGTTTGAGGTACAAATTGTAGGGGGATAGCAACCTATGGTGTGAGCTGTAAATTGTATATACTGTTGATCTGAGAGGGTTTCTTGTGTCTGCTTTTTAGTAATAATTAGGAGCTAGTTTGCATAGTCTTGTTATATGGGGAGGGATATTGCCTGCTTTGTGTAAATAGTTAACTGGTGTATATCTTGGGAACCTTAGAGTCCAATCTTAAGACCCTGTTCTGTTGAAGCTGTAGTTTGTTGAGAATATTGTTTGACATGTTGCAAATGACTTGGCATCCATATTCTATGAGTCATATATGTTTTATAAATTTTTAAGATAGTTTCCGATGTACAACCATTATTTTGTCCAGTGATAAATCTTAGGTGGTTAATGAGCTTGCTAATTGACTCGTGAAGTTTTCTTGTGTGCCCATGTAAGTTTTCTATCTAATATTATCCCAAGAAATTTGGCACTAGGGCTTATTTTAGTGTTTATATTGCTTGATTTTAGTTTAACTTTTTTTTTTCCACTTTTAAAATGTTTGTTCAGACTGTGATGGAAAATTATACCTTGGGTTTTGATCATGTTTGAAAGGACCTGCAAATTGTTACACCAATTCATTTTAGCATTTAATTATTTTTGTACAGAACCTTGTGGTACTCCTTTTGTAATATTAAATGTTTTGCAGGTAGTGTCATTGATTTTTACTGTAACCGTGTGCTTGGTTAGGAAGTTTGAGATCCATCTTATTATTGTTCGGTTAATGTTCATTGATTCAAGTCTGTACATTATGGCATTTTACATTAAGGCTTTATGTATGTCCAGAAAGACTGCAATCAATGCTTAATTATTATGAAAAAAATCTGTAAATGGCTTCTGTGAGATGTGTAAGGTGATCTATGGTATGTCTCTTCTTCTTAGATGAATTCTATATATATTTGAAAGGAGGTTTTTGGTTTTGAAGTATTAAAGAAGTCTGAGCTATAATTCTTTTCATTAGTTTCCCTAAACTGCCTCAGGAGACTAATGGGTCTAAAGTGTTCTGGTTTGGATGTTATTGTGGGGTCTTTGGGAATAGCTGTTATTGCTTTTTACCAAGTGTTTGGAAAGTACCCTTTTAGTATTGATAGATTCATTAGATTAGTCAGGTAAGTTGTTATTCGAGGCTTTCTTTAAGATTATATTTTAGATCCCGTCATGTCCAGGAGTAGAGTTTTTGAGTGTATGTATGTTGACTTTTACTTCATCTTTAGTTATTTTGCAGTTTAAAATATCATTGTGATTTGATAGTGTATTGTCATCTGTATTGTGTGCCAGGAAGCTTGGCGTGTATATGTGTGGGATGTTTTCAATGTGGTCATTGATTATTTGTTGATTTGATGGATCAGAGGTGGGAGAATGAGTTTTGCTAAAGGTGGTTTCAAAGTAATTGGCTAGGAGATATGCTTTTTCTTGGTCTGTATTGTTATCGATTACAGTTATGTTTACACACACAGGTACGTTATCAATTTGACTTTTTTTGTTGTCTTATTTCTTTACAGGAAATGCAAGAGCACCCAGCTTTTAGAACAGAACCTTTAGATGAAACACGTGAACTTCCTCCTTGGATTGAAGCACTTCAGCAGCTGAAATATGACTCTGAAGAGAACACAGCAGAGGGTCTGTATGTTTTACCCAAGTACTACTGGAGAGATATTTTGAACATGTATAGTTTAAATCATTCAGCATGTTTACAAAATTGAATAAATAGGGTTGGATGGGGGGGGGGACAATACATATATTAGATCATTTTATAAAGTAAAGTGTATGTATGTGGTAGGTAAAGAAAAATTAATGAGAACACAGACCAGATAAATATAACATAGTAAGTATAGGCACATTTACGTGTTGTAAAAAAAAAATCCAATTCTAGATAACTCAGGCAAAAATAAGTATCAAACAGATAAAAAAGAATGTTCTTGTTATGTATATGTTATACAAGAGTAAGGAAGACTTAAGTTACCTCGAACAAGAATTGTTTTCGTCTGAAAAAAATAATTTATTAAACTTGCCTTTTTATAGAAGATAGGTAAGCATTGTATCAATGTGAGTATTGTGTAAATTAATAAGTTTGTTTACTTGAAAACCTTTGTTTTAAAGAAATGGCAGAGAGAAAACAAAAATAAGCTTTTAGTTTTTATCTTGTGTTGTTTGTGTAAGAGCAAATTGCCAGTGAGAAAAATATATACCTAAAATTTTAAGCATTCAAGCAGTACTGTAGTACAAGAATCAGAGTACACATAAGCATTAATTTCATGCTTAGATAAACAGAGTAGTTGAACTTTTTCACTAGAAAAATACTTTTTAATGAAAATGCTGAATAAAAATTAAGATATCAAAGTAACACAATGATAAAAACAACAACAACTGAGTAAAGTAACATATAAGTAGATTATTTTGTGGGATCAGAATGTTTTCATAACTATAAATCACTATTCTTGAATGATTTGAACATTAATCAGGCCGTCTCTATTTCAATCAGTGTAATATCCAGTAACTTTCTCTAGAATTACAAATGAGTTATAAGTCTTTTGAATTGACCAGTCAAGATAATTTTTCCCTTCTTAACTGCTAGAGGACTAATATATATTCTACATTCTCTTTCAGTAATTACTGAAATGACATGTGGTATATAGTACAACAGTAGGTTTATTTCATTTGGTTTGCTTTGCAAATCCACTTTACTTCCTAGCACAGCATCTTTTCCTTGCCTTTGTCTATCATGTGGGTCTTTGGAAGCTGGTTAAAAGCTTGGCACCAGTGGTACAACTATATGAAGTTACATGTTCTTCTTGCATGAGGTAATTTTCTAGTTAAAAAAAATTGAAACAGAGGTTGCTATACAAAGTTTTCTGTGAAACATTGTGAACACTTAATTTCATAACTCAAATCAATTTAAAATATACTGGTATATTTATCGCACAACTATTTTGCAGCAGCAATTTGTAGAAATAAACTTCATAATATTTTTAGATATAGTATATTAACTTTCAATATTTAGCTCTCAGATCACCAACTTGTTTACCTACCATTCACTGCTGGGACCTACATATTACATTATGATGATTAATATTGTTTTATATTGTTGCCTGCTACAGCACATAGCAGATTTGGCTTACCTTTTTTTTATAGAATGTGAGCTTGTTCTATATTTGTATTTAATCTCTTTACATACATTTATTTGTAATTTTTTGTAAACTGTTTGTTGCTGTTTGTTTTTAAAACACTGAAGCATTTTTTAAAGAAAAAGTTTAATTCTGATGACCAGCACTTCTAAAAAAATTAGTTCTTTTTTGTAGTAAACTGTTTATATACTACCATTAGAAATGTTAGTTTTAAAAATAAAAAAAAGACTATTTAGTTAACTAGCAACTGAAACTAATATAATGTGTTGTGTGTATACACATCATAAATGCCTGGCATGGCCAGGTTTTTAGGGTGCTTGACTCACAATCTGAGGGTTGCTGGTTCAAATCCCCATCCCACCAAACATGCTAGCCCTTTCAGCCATGGGGTGTTATAATGCGATGGTCAATCTTACTATTCATTGGTAAAAGTCTAGCTCAAGAATTAGTGGTAGGTGGTGATGACTATCTGCCTTCCCTCTAGTCTTTCACCACTAAATTTGGGATGCCTAGTGTAGATAGCCCTTGTGTAACTTTGTGCAAAATTCAAAACAAACCATAAATGCCCTCCTTTTTGAGCAAATTTAGTCTATTAATAATTAGCTAATACTATGTTTTTTCTTATATAAATTGTAAGAAAGACTTTGCAATATATTTCGATCAAGAAAATTGCAGCAGTAATTAAAAAAAGTTGCACTTTTGTTCATCATTAATGTAAACTTTCAATAATGTGCAAAATAGATCTGTGTAATTCTCAGATGAAACTAATTTTCCTAAAGAGTGTTTGGTAGGTTCAGTCTATAATGGGAAGATAGATTAGGAAAATTGCAAAGTAAATCTAAGAGGTTAGATAAAAGGTTGTGTTTTAAGCTAAGAAAATATAGACTGGGCATGATATGTAAATTGAAACACAACCTTTATTTATATTGCAAAGCAAATAAATACAATTCCGATATAGTACATTACCTTCCCTCACATAAATAGCTATTCTTATTGAGTGCTGCCCTTATGTTAAACAAAATTTTGTGCATGCCACAAGCCATGAATCTCCCATAGCTGAAATTTAGTGATTACAATGCATCTTGCATGCATATTATCATGCGACAACAATCTACCAATAAGAATGTGACATACTCTCTTGATACATGTGGCTCCCTCTATTCAATTCTACTGAACTATCACTTCTCGTGTGTCAGTACTCATGTTCTAACATTTAGTTTCTTCTCTCTTCAAGTGTTTTATTTTAATTCTTTTCCGTATTTTTGTATTAATTTCTCTCAAACAGTTTACTCTTTATTATACAATAGTGATATTTGTAACTTGTTGAGTTATTCCAAAGTGGAATTATTTTATATTTCTCCCTAGTTATGGAACTTGTTACTTTATTACAGAAACTTTTTATTTGTTTCTTCAAACACATTTGTGTTTGGTTATTCATTACGCATTATAGCTTCTACATTACCACTTTGGAGATCTTATGTTCTATTCGCACATTTACACTGGCTTCAGATTGCGGTATTCCATGGGAAGATTTTCAGCTTTACTTTATTGGGAGATTGATCATCCAAGAAGCTGATAACCATTGGCCCTTGCCTCAAGTTTGTGGGCCTACACATTTTGATATACAGTCTGCCGACTTCGGAAAGAGAAAATGTTATATTGTTATGGTTTTTCAATACTTTTAATACTATTGTCTGTAGTTATTTGAGTTTTATAAGTTTCATTAGTTTAGTCGATACTCATAGTCCAGATTATAAACTAGGCTTAGTTGTATCCTTTCTCATATACCACTGATACCAGGGGTCTGTTATTTTAGGATTACCTGTAATTCATCTGACTGGGATATCAGTCATTTGTTTTAACTGTATTGTTTTTCTTCCACACATCATGTCTTTGACATAGGTTATTGTTCATACACTCTTATTTCACTTTATAAATTCCCATTTATTTCATTTTCATTATTATACTTATTGTTAGGTTAAGATTTTTATTTTAGAGTTTAGTGATATCCTTTGTCCTGCACTGTTAGCTTAGGCTTAACAAGTGTCTGTTAATTTCTTAACATTCATTTTGTTTAATTTGTACCTTAAACATCTTACCCTTAATTTTGTTTCTGTGGGCCCCTGTGGGCTGGGGTCCACCCTGCCTGCCTTCCTCCTATAATTGCTAAACCCATTTAAGACATCCCAGATTTTCAGTTTTCCTCCACCTTATCATGGATTGTATTCCAGGCCTCTAATGAAGAATCTGCTCGGCATATCTCAGTTTGTTTTTTTTTAGATATATTTCACAGTATATTCCCTTCTCCTGACATTGTTTCTTGATGATCTTTTTGTCACTTTTAAGATGGGTACTTGCAAGCCTCATCCTACACAGGCTTTAATTCTTTTTGCCTTAACTTACCATCAGGCAGATTTTCTTCTTTGTATCTTTGTTAATCCTTTCCATTTTTCAGCTTCGTTTTACCCTATCTACTCTCCCACAGGTAATGTTTATCTTCCATTTCCTATCTTAGGTGTTCCACTTATATTAAGGGATTTGTGTGGGATACATCCTCCTCCTTCCCTCCATGTTGGAGGGTTTGCCATCTTCTGTTCTTTCCCTCCGCACGTGACTTCTTTCCTTTTGGGAACTTCTTAGGTGGGACACTGCTGTTTGTTTCCCATCCACTGCTAATAGGGACTTATGGTGAGATATTTTTTTTTGGGGGGGGGGGCTTCTCCTTTACATTTAGCATAATGTGGGGTATCTGGCATGCTATATTAAATTTTCTTGTTTCATTCTGAAATTTTGTCATCTTTATTCTTTTACATTTCTTGAAATTTTACATCCAACCTATGGGTTTTCTCTGTTCATCTTGTATGCTCAATGCTGTTTGGGGTGCTAGATCAATCAGTCCCACCTCAATCACTTCATGGGTCTTCTCCATTTTCATATGTAGTCTTTGATCACATTTGGGTTTGCTATTTCTGCATGTTGGAGTATGCCCACAATACACATTCTTATTTTCCATGCTATTTTAGGTTATTTCACCATGTGATTTGGTCCCAGTTTTGTGTCCTTCCCTTTGGACTTGTCTGGTACCATATGTGTATTATGGGGTGGTCTGCATTTTACCCAACTTCCACTTTTTGTGGGTGATTTTACCTACACTATTCATTGAATGTATAGCTTTCATTAGCTACATCCAAATGGGGGTAGTCTTCACATACTTATATACTCCTTCCACAGTGGCAAGTGGTGTCTGTCCAGGTATATTTAAACTAGTAAAAGCAGCACTGTAAGGCCATGATGATTTAACATGGGCACACAACAAACACTGCGTAGATGGGGTATTCCACAAGATCACTTCTAGGTTTATCCTTGCGATAGGTTTGCTTCATAAGGTTGCCCAATCAGGACTGTACTCACCCATGGACTGCATGGATAAAGCAAAAAGGGATAGCTGTCCATCTCTGCTATGCTTTGTATTGAATAAATCAGTATGGTCTGCTT